CGAGACCTGCAATAAAATTACGATAAACCGATTTATAACTCGTTTCGGCTGGCAGAAGTGTAAGCGATTGAGTAATGATTTCTAAGACGAAATTTAAGCAGAATTTACTTCTAAAGCAATGATAACAGGGATTCTATTGACAGTAAGGACAGTTAGAATTGCTTCTCACCAGACCTGTTGTTCAAGTCGACGTCGTACACCACGTTTAGACTCAGGGTCATGATTAGGGCTTCCTTGCAGTGTTTCTGGAAGGTGTTTTCTTGGTCGAGAACACCAGTCTCTAAGAATAAACCCCGCCAGTATTCGTAGTCCGGTGTCCCCGTGATTTCAAGATCGTATACATAATCAAAAAAGTCTCGAAATACTGGCGGAAGCCGTCAAACAGATAAGTGAGCTTTTTTTCTTTAAGATAAATGGCTTGATATGGATCCTCGGCAATGCGCCAATACGCCTTGTTCTGGTTGTACATAGAAATTGTTCTTCAGGATTATCGGGTTTATCAGGTATACTTATAGTATTCATATTCTTTTAGGTTAGTTGATGTAGTTTAATATGACGTTCTGCTCGATAAAATGATTTACCAACTATAGTATATAGTCGTAATTATCGCGTTTATACTATGTATTACACAGAAATCATGCCATTTCTATATTGTACTATATTTACTCATATATGACAACGTCATTATAACAAGATCTCTCATTGTAATAATCTTTTGATCAACCCGACGCCTTCAGCTTATCGAGTGTGTAGATAAAAGTGGTACCTTTTCTCTTTCATATTCATACAATATTATTAATGCAAATTGTTCAATTTGCAACTTATTTTTGTGTTTTCGAAACATGAAATATACAGTAAATCTCCCTATTGTTATTACTAATTCAGTGTTATTGATTCATTTGGGGGCGACTATAAAGGCTAACTATAAAGGGGGAACTTACATATTAATATGTTGTTGTTTTCCGTGGGTGGACGACTTGCATATTAATATAGAACCACTTTGATGACGTCACGAAGATAATAAGATAAGGATTAAGCCACTTATTAGAAAAATTTCTATACGCGGACTTACTATTATACGATGTCCAGCAAGGTAACTATTCCCACTAGCCTCCCTGAAAACGTCCGGGACTGGAAACGCTCTGAGGTACTCGAGTTCCTTAACGACAACAGAATCCAGTATGACCTCGACGAAGAGGACATTCAAATCATCGAAAACAACAAGGTCGCTGGCGTTGCCCTTCTCTTGCTGACTGAAGAGAAGCTTCTCCGCATTGGGCTGGCCTATGGGCCTGCTGTGGCTATCGCTCAGCTTGTCGAAGAGCTCAAGCTAGCGAAGGGGCTAGTAATAACAGCTCAACCAGGTAACGATTTTGGCGTTGGGGACATAAAGTGGTGTGTACATAGGTGTAGTAAACATAATATGGGTAATTTACATTATAATTACATAATAATAACTGTTTATGCATGATGTTTATCTCGACTCTCCTTATTATTGATAATAATTTTTTGGCCATTCACTGGTGACATCGACTAATTCGCGTTTTTTGTCTCCTCTTGCTTTACCATTGTCATCATCAGAGTCTAAAAAGATTTCCCTGGAAGCTGTCTTCCAGAAATTTCTTAGCGAAAGTCATGGACAGTTCCTACATACCTACATTAAGGAAAATCCACCACTCCCAACATACAAATCTTCTGTAAACCTCAAAACACCAATACCTGATGTAAATGGCCCCTGCCTACTATTTGCAAACCTCCCCAACAATGAAACTATGGCAATGACAAATGTTCAATCCCTAATGAAGGCCATAGGACGACATAATAGGATGGTGGTGATTCTTGGAACATCTGGATGTGGCAA